ATTAGGTATGTCCTGAGCCTTCTCTTTTCCAGACTGAATAAACCAAATTATCTCAGCCTTCCCTCATGGGAAAGCTGCTCTATCCCTCTAATCATCTTGGCAGCCTCCTCTTGAATCACCTCTACCACACAGAGAGGTAAGGATGGAAGAAGCCTGAAACTTTGCAGACTTCTCAAGATGTTCTGTGGCCTAGAGTTAGGCATCTCTCTTCCATGCTTTATACTGGCACTCAGATGCACTAGGTTTTCTCCCCCAATGTACAAAATAAACTTATGCAATATGCATGATAAACTGCTCTTTATAAATTAAAAAAAAATCATTAAGCGATTCCTGGATTCTTTATAATTTTATAATGCAAGACAGCAGATGCTTCCAAAGCACTTCAGTGAGATTTCTGCATGCTGCTATCCATATGTGGCATTAAGACCACAGCCTTTGACAATGAAGTAGATGGAAAAGTATTATCTGAGAAACTGCCAAATCAAAGCTATAGGGACTGTCTGTCACATGAGCACTTTTAAATGTGACACACAAATTGGCACAAATATATATAAATTACAAGACATAAATGCAGTAATTAATAAAAAGAAAAAGAAAATTACGAACTACAAAAACAACCACAAAAATGGATGATAAAACACCATCTAGACCTATGGGAAATGAAACATTATGATATACCAAAACACTTGAGTAGAGTTTTATTGCTATATATATTTCCAAGGGTGGAAAATGAAAAACAAATGCAAAAAAGTTTTTATGACTGGGATGGGAAAGAAAGAATTTTATTACCTAAGAAAAGAACACAGTAAGCAAGGCAACCTCAGAAGCAAGATGCTGATAAAGCCAAGGGATGTTTGTCTATATACGTATCCAAAAAGTAAAATCTTTGTCATGCTGGGTATAAGCAATATTATTACACAGAATGAAAAAAAGGTAACTACAGAACTTTAAATCAAGCTGTTCCCAGAATTAGAATCTACCACACAGTTCAGTATTTAGCCTAGATGAACATATGATATTGCAGGAAATTAAGGGAATGAAATATCTGAGATAAAAGTTAAGGTCAGTGAACTTTTCTCCTGGCTGCTGTGGGTTTAATAATACTTCAAGTTACATGCTGAACTGTCTCTGAACAGTTGATAATGAGCATTACAGTAAAAGAATAAACTACAACTGCACTAACACAGAAAACAAATAATTTGCTAATCTGTATACTACAGATAAAAGTGAATTTATTTTAAGTGAGAAAATAGGATGTTAATGACTTTCAGACTCCACAGTGTCTCAGATATCACTGCTGCAGCACATTTACCCCACAACAGTTTTATGGTGGCCTGAATCACTCACATATATGCTATCAGAAAATCTCATAGATTTATCCCACTCAGGTATATACATCAAATCACTTCTGCTTTTTTCTCCTTTTTTTCTTTTTTTTTTTTTTCTTTTTCCTTGGGTTCTTCAAAAGTAAATTAGATTATCTCAGACTAAGTGAATTAAATCCAGAGGGAAACACCCTATTAACTGCATGCAATAAGCTGATAGATCTGACTCAGGCCAAGTTGAAAGAACATTTAGCATAAGCTACCTCTAAATTTTGTTCTAGAAATTCAATAGCGAGCTGAACAGCACCAGTAAATATACCACATTCACCTATTCGCATTTAAACTTATGTAACTTTGATGGTAGAAGACACAAACCCCTATCTGCTGTAAAAGCAGACTTACTTTATAAGCTTTAATTGAAGCTTCAGCTAAACCTCCCCCAGGCCTTAAAATTAACTATGATTTCCTTATGCAGCTTTACTGAGTTTTTTGTTTGGTTGGAGTTTTTTTTCACTTTTCCTTCCACTTTTTGTTTCAACCAAGTTAGTGCTTGTCTCTAGTCACACATTCCGTATTTATCTCCTTCATTTTCCCACTTCTCTTAGTCTTTTCCTTTGTATCTTTGTTTTACTTTGAGCTTCATTCTGCTGCTGTCACAACAGTAACAATACGTTTCCCTGTACACAGACAGCTACAACATTCCCCCAGCATGACCACTGCTTAGGATTTCAGCCTGTAACTTCCCCCAAATTAACATCACACAGCATCCCCCTTAGGAGCACTGAGCAGAAATGCTATTTTCTCTCACTGCTTTACTCAAGGAACCATGAGAAATGTTAAACAATTTTCTAACAGTAGTTTTAATTTACAACTAACTAGACTTCCGCCTGAATTTGCCTTGCATTGGTGGAAAATTAGAAAATAAGGAACAAGTCAAGATGAAGCCTGCCTGGTTTCTCCATTATGAAAGAAGTGGAAAGAAATGCCCTCCAACAGACCTCTGGCTCACACCACCATATATGCATTTTTCCATTAGGAGAACACTATTCCTCAGATAACTGGAATTAGAAGTCGATCTCATCTTCAGTGGTATTTGTCCTTGTTCTAACTGTCTCAGCCTAAATTATAGCACTGGAGCCCTTAGTTAGTCATCAAAGATCAAGAGAAAACTGCTTAACAGTGTCCCATTCTTACTGTTCTTCCACATCAAACTTGCAGATGACTTCAAGAGCTCATGGAAGCATTTCTTTTTTCCCTCTTTTTCATTCCCCACCCTTGTAGCTGACAGCAGCCATGGATGCATTACAGAACCCAGCATGTCCAGTTTGGATGAGATGCTGCCAAGAGGAAAGGAACAGCTTCCTAAGGTCCTGCTAGTGAAACCCATGGCTGTAGTGGCCACAGTGTTACAGACCTGGCACAACATCAATGAGGTCACCTTCAGAAAAATGCATTCGTAATACACCTTTCCATACTTTTGTGGTACTAATATCTGTTTCTGACAAAATCAAAACCTACAACAGAAAAGTCAAAGCCTAAATAAATATAGATTTTTTCCCTTCCCACCTTACATATCAGGTATGTGTGACTTTTACATGACATAAACTATACAACATCATACTTGTACTGATAGCTCCTGAATGAAATTTCACTATCAAGGAGACCAGATTTCATTTAAAAAAAAAACCCGTCATAAACAACCTATAACCCAAGTTTGACCCCACCTAACCAAGAGTCGACAGGATTTTATTCTCCTAATACTCTTTGGATCTAGTCTCAGCTTAGATGAAGACTTAAAAATGCAATGGATGCATACCTAGGATGTCTTAACATAATCAGTAAGATACCACACAGTTAAATTGGTATTAATTATTAACTTCAAGAGCTTTTCTAGACAAGATCTTTGTTCTACTAATATTAAAGCACCAGGGTTTTAACTGGCTTCAACCACAGTATTGTAGTCACAGCTAAAAAAAAAAACTTTCCAATGACAGTGTGAGAAGTATTTTCAGGCAAGTGTGCCTTTATAATTTTTTTAATGTATCAGGTGGGAAAAATCTCTGTTCTTGTTCCTAATGAATATTTCTGTATAGTGAGCTCACACAACACACTATTTATGAAGGTAAAGGGATTATACTTCATTTGACAGTTATAGTGCTATAAACTTTCATCTAGACCAAGCTCACATTAAAAAACCTTTTAAGTGTCACTAAAAAGGCACAAGAAAACTGAATTTACTATTCTCTCATTAAGTCAGTACCATATCAACCATAAACCTGAAGAACAATAACCATATTTGAAACAGAGACTGTCATAACTTGAGCTCAGCATCGCAGATATTGAAAGCTGCACCCATAACCCAATGCACACCTCGTTATCACAGCACAGCTGCAGGGACAGACAGCTCACAGATAAAATAGATATTGTTATGAATAAATGTGTCAGATCATTGAATAATTGTTACTCAGATGAAGCAGCAGAGAAGAACTATGGAAATTCCTTCATAAATCAGCCACCCACGGTTTTCCCTACTTTGTGAAAGAGCCACCTTTAAAATGCATAATCTTGGGATGGAAATCCACAGTAGTTTAGAGACTTCTAACTTCAGGGTGTCAGTCACATGACACATGGGGTTTTTTGCCCAGCCCACTCCAGAATGGGCTCATTGTACAGACAGACATACAGCAGACAGATGGCTGCAGGAGCAAGGCACGAGGGAGATACAGCTGCTGTGTCTGGGGCTGTCATCATCATGAAGCCACACATCTCACATGGAGAACCAACTGTGGACTCTGTGAGGTCTGATGTTCCAGAACCTCCCTGGCTCATCTCACCCTAGGAATTATGCTGACAGTACAATTTTAAGAGGTCCCTCTAAGTCGTAAGAGTTTCATCTCTTTAGTTCATTACCAATTTCATCTGAGTCTGGATCTGTGGTGTAATGGTAAATTGTTTATTATTTCTCTACCAAGGCTCATTTTTAGTACTTTCTAAGAGAGAAGGACCACACAAAGAAGGCATAGCCAGCAATTTCTGCAAAGGAGCTCGATACAGACAGACTCAGATAAAGCAGCTGTCACTAGAGACCAGGAGAGGCTGACAAGGAAGGATAAAGGAGTGGAACAGAAAGCTTAACAGGCATCTCCAAGCACCATAGATAAGAATCACTCCCAGGCCACACAACCTCGAGTCCATGGGGAAGGAAAAACAAACACAAGCTAGTTGCAAACACACACAGCTTCAAAAGCGCCTGCAGTTTTGCTCCCTGATCTTTTGATTGTCTTTATCAAGGAACGCTTGTCCTTGCTTCATACTGCATATATATGAAAAATCGCATCTACCTTCATCCTAGGTGCTGCCTGCAGGCAAGAAGTGCATCTTACACAGCTCCCTCATCTTACAGAGTGACTTCTCACACCCACCATAAACACACCCTTAAATACTCGTTTGTATAGTAAATCTAACACAGCCAAAGCACAGGCGGAGCTGCATTCTTTAACAAGAACTCCCACACCAGAGGCTTTGTTTTTGAAGCACCGAAGTTTCTTCCTACTGAGAATGTAACCACGTAATTTGAATTCTCAAGCTATTCAATATAGCATGGCACAGAAATAAAAAGTGCAAATAATTGCAAAAAATCCCCTACATATATAATCACTAAGTGTGAGTGCATACCTTCCCTGATAGCAGTAAATGGGGTTCCTTCCTCTTCTTGTAATCTAATCACCTTCAATGCCACCAGCTTTCCGTTTACCCTGAAAGGGAAAGAGGGGAGGGGAAGGAGAAATTTAGAAAAACCAAAATTATAGCAGAAACAGTATTTCTCATAATAGAACTTGTTTCCTATCATGTACTTATTCAATTTCTTCCTGTCAATGCCAATGACTCATTTATAGCACTGTAAGAAACACTTCATAGCTTCCATAATGTCAACTTTATATTTTCACACTCTGATGCAGTCCAAGAAATTATCTCAATTTTCTGTGAGTCAGTCTGTTTCCTTTCTACTACAGTTTTGTTACTGAAGCTTTGTTAAGAAATAACACATTTTAAAATTTCGTTATAAAATATCTGCTCATTATTTGATCAAACTGTTCAAAGAAAATTCTCATCAATCACTTCACCTGCAGTATTTGCAGATTCACTCTGATTACCTCCTTCCCACTGCATGATACACATTATATAGACTTCAAAAAGCTACAAAGTTTGCTAATGAAATAATTATTAGGTCATTCTGGCCATTTCCTGCTAGGGCAGGATTGTTCCTGAGGCATATTCTTCCCAACATGGCCCAGGCTACTTTTAAATTATAGTAACTCTCATTTAAAAGTTTAAAACTATTTTGTGCTCCAAGAGACAAAAGTTCTTAACAGGTCATTTTCGTGTAAAATCTATTTGGCTTGTTTCACTTTTAGCATTCCAAATTTCACCACACATGAATTACATTCCAGGCCTCGCAAAAAGTCCAGTTGGTTCAGTTTATCCAAATAAAAATGGAAAAAAGCTGATACTCATTACCCTCTTCAAGAACAAACACATACCATGAAACTGTAACAGACTCCCCATGTATGACAAGCAATGTTGAGGATAAACTACCAAAAAGGCATAATACAGTTTAAAAAATATATTGTTATTATTATTATTAAGACTTATTTCTGCAAAAGCAACATTAGCCTTTACAGCCACAAATTCGAGGACGCATTGTAGACTTTACACTCCTGTAGCATGGAGGCAATTCTCTACTGTACTACAAGAGGGATGGGCCTAGAAGATGTATTACATTTCAGAGCAAGATGATATGGATAACCACCAACTCTGAATTCACTCTTCTCCCTCAGGCTTTTAATTTTTGCAGTTATATGAGTTCAGTGACGGATGGCTACTGTCTTGTTTCTTCTGATTATTCCTCTTTTATAATTACCAGGAACTCATTAGCCCTATACAGAACATTGCACAATGACTCTGAGCAAGTTAAGAAACCCTGGTTATCAAAAGATGGTTTGCTCATCACCTTTCAATTACTCATAATATTCAGGCTGGCATCAGTTCAAGTCTCAGGCCACTAGTCACTGTTGAAAGGAAATTATCAGCTTAACTCTCCTGGATTTCTCCTTATAATTACCTTACATACTTTTAAATTTGAATTTCAACAGGACTTATGGCATCAGAAAAAGATAAACCTTGCCTCAAGTAACTTCACATGTCATGCTTAGACAGGAGAATGAAGCATATTAAAAGCAGAGGGACTGATGACAGACATGCAGTTCATAAATGTGTAGTTTTCAGTTCTGTCAATCCACCACCTTACCTATCATACACATATTACACAGGTATCTGGATAACTTGAATATTTTGCAACAGATGAAATAACTGCAGAAGGAATTTAAGTAAGAAAAGCAAGATCATTTTGCAGATAAAGAACATGATAGATGCTGTGCTCAGAGAAGGCAATGCAAATTACAATGAAAGGAAGAGGTATTAAGGAAACACATCAAAGAGGTATTAAGGAAACAGGGATATGGGGTCTTTTGATAGAGAAGGACAAAAAAAATGCAGCATTGTGTAGCTTATGTTCCTTTTAATCTGAAGTTCTACATTCCATTGGTTCATGAAGAGCAATATATAACACAAACAGCAATAGCATGGAACAAATTTCAAATAATTCACAATTAAACACAGCAAGTGAGCTCTGCTTTTTAGTTACCATTGCCCTTTGTCATTGGTACCTATCATCACCTTGACAGACATCACAGCAACTCCTAGTACTATCAAAATAATCAAACTAATCTCAAGTAGCTCCTCTTGGATTTCATTTTCCTCTTTAATATAATATATCTCCAATATATCAATCTGTAATTCCCATAATACAACAGCCTCCTTATTCTAATTTACTATCCAGTCATTAAAATATTTTTTTGTTTCTATTTAATTTTCTATAAACAGGAGCATATAAAACTGGAGATGTGAGAAATTATGAAGCATCAATTAAAGAGCTAGGGTGTATATTCACATGCTTTAATTATCTTGCCACTGATGCAATTTCAGGATGCAGTTGGGTGATGCTGAAGAGATGAGCTAAGGGCTGCCTCACAGTTCTTCTGCTTAATCCTTGCCACACCCTCGACACTGCCTTGTATTTGCTCTCATTTCTGCTAAACTTTACAATGAGACTGCTTAGAGATCTTAAATAAGAGAAGACTGGCCCTTCTAAGAATAATTAAATCATATTTTTTAAAAAAATATAAAGGCATAAAAAACAGGAAAAAAAACCCACTAGAAAATATATAAGAACTGGGTCCACCTTTTGAGAAGCAATGTGTCATGGGATCAAGCCATCTATGTCATGAAATTATGCCCTGAAACTTGTGATGCCATGTCAAAATAATATGAAAATTTCCTTAGAAACAACACTGAAAAAAGGAAACCTGGGTAAAATTACCTCTGGAACCTATCAATACCTGTCTTTGCAGACTTCAAAAGTGATCAGATAAGGTTAGCAGAACTCCTTCCAGATATTAATTCACATTTGTCTTCCACAACTTTCAAAGCATGCCCAGTATTTTCATTCTTTTCAAATACAAGTAAAAAAACTGACAAGCAGACTGCCTTTTAGACAGTGAAAAGGCAACACTGCTGACTCTTTTAACATCTAGGATTCATTAAACCACCTCTATTACTCACTGTCCAAAGCAAACAATTTCACACCTTCTCGAAACAATACACTTCACTGTGTCAAAGATTACGCTTATCATCTTATGCCCATCTTGTCAACTGCCCCATTAGTTTCTATTAAGGACAATATTGACTAAAGAATTCCTATTTTCTAAACCATCCTCCCTCCTAAACTAACTCACTTTCTCTTCCCTATTGAAAAACCTTCAGAGAAAGTACAGAATCCTAAAGCCTCTCTAATTATCACACAAAACTACTTTAGGCAAAACACCTACAGCTGATGGACACTTTTCCAATTTAGGGAAATTCAGCACTTTAACATTATATAATCCCTTCTAATACATTTCTCATTATATATGCAATGTAGGCAAAAGAAAAATTAGTCCAAATTGCTTGATGCAGCATAAAGTAAAAGTCTGCATATTATAAAAAATACAAATGAGCCAGATATTACAAAAAATGCTAATATAATGTGTCATTCTGCATTTTCTAAACTAGCATATATCAGCACTACCAAAATAAATACATTTATAAAAAATGACCATTTATGAGAAAGTAAAGAAGACTGGAAATGATTTAATGCTTTAATGTGTCATTAAGAACATATAATACTGATGAATATAAATTAACTGATGACTTAATTGGCTTCACTGGGGATAATGCTGATGATGCCACATAGAGAATGAAAGAGTACAATAACACTATTTTCTCAAGTTCTTCAGATATATTTAGATGAAATAAATGTTCTAAATATACACATTTAAAAGAGTCAACATAAAATCTGCGAATTCTGATTTCAATCTTTTTATTTAATACTGAGTTTTACCACGGGCTGGAGTTGAGGTTGAGCTCATAGTCTGAGCAAGTGCTAAGCTTGGGAACATTTCTGTAAAGAAAAATCAGTAGATGGTATTGGGATGATGCTCTAATTTGTGATACAAATTTCAAGAAACTAATTCCTATGAAGAAAGGTCAATTTCAATTGTTAAATATTCATTTATAGGAAAATCTCTAAGTTTGATGATCAAACCTTGAGAATATCTAATTAGATCTACTCTGTAGTGGTATTAATGTCATAAACAGACACCTAAAACTCCAAACAGACCATGGGTGCCTAATGAAACCAGGCTCTGCCAGAAATTTCCTTTGAAGAAACCTGACAGAGGCACATTCACGGTAGGTTTAGTCACCTCTGATTATTCTACCAACGAATAACTAATTCCACATTGAGGGAAACACTTCTTTTAATCATTAACATAAAAGACAGTTCAGTGTAAACATGGTTTATATTCTATTTTTCTTACTAAAAAGGACTTACATTTCTAGTTTACAAAAGCCACTCCCAGTCCTGCTAAAGCCCTGTCACATGAATTCTCAAGGGACTAACACAGGCTCTGAATTTCTCTTTTTGAATCCCACCATCTTTTAACCTCATCCTGGACAAAAGTTACCTTGTCTTAGTAGAAGCCAGTGGATTAATGATACTTCATAATGCCTGACATTTATTAGGGCTGAAAAAACAGAAGATCAAAGAGTTTCATGAGTGAGGAAGGATTTAAATTATTAATTAGTGCTGTCACTGGAACTCAGGAGTCAAGGCAGTCTCGTAAAAACAGCGTGGCAGCCCCCACTTGAACAGGGGCAGGTAAGAGTTTACCTCAGCTCCCTCATCCCTCAGCTCACATCAGTTCAAACTGCTCAGCAGCTCATCTAAGCACAGGGGCTGTGCTCAACCCTTGCCCGCTGGAAGGAGTCACCTGGGATGGGCAGCAGGGACAGCAAAGCTGAGCACCACCCTCCTCCACACAGCTCACATCTCTCCACGCCCCACTGATGCTCATACAAAGAGAAGCTGAAGACAAACACAGAGATATCCCTGGTAAGTAAGGTGGCACCTTACAACTGTGCACACGAACACTCACAGGGGATTTTCTGAGAGATGCCACTGATCAGCTAACTGAAAAATGCTTTGGTGCACAATGGCAGCTGGCAAATTACTTCAGTTTTCTCCCTACCATTCCAATCATGTATATATGGCCAAGAATGTACTATCCAGTAACTCTACCACATGTATGTGATATAA